CGCCCCCCCCCCCCCCACAGCCGCCGCCGCCGCTGCTGCTACTACTACTGCTTTAGCTTCAGGTTCAGTGTCTGCCTCTGCCGCTACCGTGGACGAGTTCACAGTCCCGGAGGTGAAGGAAGAGGAGCTGAAATGTGCCAAACCCCGAGTGGAGCTGGTTTTTAAAGTCAAGTTCACCATCATCGGTCTGTTGGACCACACGGGACAGGCGCACGGCAGCAAAACATCCCGGCAGATATGGCTCCAGCTCAGGGGAAACAGAGAGGACGTGTCCAAGGCTAAAGTAAGTTTGTTTGGTTGCTTTTTTTCTAAAGAGAACTACAGCTGTACACGCTGTTGTTGTTGTTAATGTTGTTGTTGTTGTTTTACGACCATGCTGTGCCGGTGAAGACCACAGTAAACAAGCCTGTTGCTGGACATACGGTCGAATCAAAACTCGTCTCGTGTACAGTCTGATTGAGTATTACTGTGAAATACTAGGACTTACCAAATACTCATGAAGTAATTGTTAACCACGTCAGTTAGCAGCTGTTTTTGATATGGGGGGGGGGAGAGGGAGGTTGTTTTCTGGTTCTTCTTTGCTTAAAAGCACTCATACTTTACCATCACACATTCATCTGAAGAGGCTCCTGTATATAATGATATAAAGTAAAGTAACAGACACCAGTTTGTATCAGACCAAACAGTCAGGTCCAGATCCAGCTGTGGTCCACAGTCCCATCCTAACCAGACCCCCCTGACCCTCCTGACCTCCCCACCTGTCAGTGGGTTTTGCTTGACGATCCAGCTGTGACCTGTTTAACGTTTTATTTTATTTCACTTTCTGTTCACCTGCAGCAGTTTCTTTCTCACTTAATAATGAGGCTGACAGAAGGCCTCAGACATCAAACGTGAATGAAACTTAGAATAAAAAACTATATATATATATATAACCTGAGAAAATGGTTTTTGATAGGGATGTCCGATATTAACTTTTTGACCTTATCCAATAAGCTGATATTGTCCACTTGACTTAACGATTAACCAATACCGATATAGTGGGTCAGTGGTGGTTAAGGAAGTTAAGTCTATCTTTATATAATTTTATTATTATTTTGCAGGCATCAGTTCAGGTGTTTTTTGTTTTTTTTTTTAATCCATAAGAGGCAGCAGTTTTTAGTTTTTAATGTGTTCAGTTGTCAAACATCCTGTGTCAGCGTTGTTGCCTGAAGAAGAAGGTTTTTCTCAGCCCATGTGGTCATCGCAGGGGAAAGACCTCGTGGAAAATCCCACACGTGTTATAAGTGGCTTCACTTCATAAGCCTCGCCCCAAATATTTGTGACCTGCGTCTCATTTGACTCCGTCACGTGCTCGTCTTTTCTTCTCTGACTGTGCTGTGTCACTGTTGACTCATCTTTCAGTCTTCTCTGTTCATCCCTGTACGCCTGTAATACATGTGACACAGTGTGTTTACTATTCCCACCTGCAGCTGATTCATCCACCCCCCTCCACCACTCCTTCTCTCCACCTCATTGATAAATTCCCTGAAGAAACCTTTTGTTTGGTCTCAGTGCATGGAGGATTCCATGCCTACAAGTTTATCCATACTTTAAACCATGGGGTCCCTAACCCCCGGTCTAGGGACCAGTGCTGGTCCGTAGGTCAATTGGTACCGGGCCGCAGTGGGTCACAGTAAAATAAAATGTACTTCCATGTTTCAAAACAACAGGTCAAAGGTCATTCAGACTCTGATACTAACAGAAGAAAGTCTGAAAGAGGTTTTATTTCGAAAACTATTTCTCAATGATGGTATTACCTAAAAGGTCAGGGGCTGCTGCTTTAAACAAACGTTTTAGCATTAGCCTTGCTTTCCATCACCCCCACCCATCTGACACATGATGTAACAAACAACAAAAAAATTGATCCACTGCAGAAAGTTTCTGTGAATGTTCCCAGACATTATAACATCACATTCAGGTGTGATTTTCCAGGAAATTAAATCCACGTCCTGGTGCAGGAAATTGTAAATTTCCCCAGTCAGGTTAATAACCTCATCTTATGTGTCTGTACTTTTTTTAATTAGTTTCAAAAACAACACTGGTCAAAGTATTTGATAAACTTTGTCAGATGTTTGAAAAAAGTCTGAAAGAAGTAAATTAGTAAAACTGGAGTATATTTTTTTTCACTGTGTCCTACTGCGGTTTGACACCAAATCCACAGACCGGGGGTTGGGAAGACTGGACACAGTCTCTGGCTTTGACCTAGAAAAGGGTTCTGGACCTGAAAATGTCCGAGCAGCAACCTGTTTTACATTCAGAATGATTGAAGGTCTCTTAGTTTTTACTGGTGTACCACATGCTTACAGTGTTTTGTTTTTTTTTTGTTGTTTTTTTTTTTTACTAAACGCAGGAATATGTGCGAGGACTCTGTGACCCAGAACTGCAGAAGGATGAACGATACCCTGTGGACATGCACTGCATCTTTGCCGGTGCCCGAGGTCTGTTCCTGGACAGGCTCATACGGGACACAAGTGCTGAGGTCCAGGTGCCAGAACCCGGCCGCCTGAGACTTCTGGGCCAGGCTGAGTCTGTGGTGATGGCCCAGAGCAGAGTGCAGCAGTTTGTAGCACTTTTCCAGGTAGACTTTTTTTTTTCTCCAGGTGTTATATCAGCAATAAGCTAATGATGAATTTGATGATGAAGAGTATTTATGTTTGGTCCAGGAGAAGCGAAGTCTACCCAGTGACAAGGAGCCTGCAGTGAAACGAACCTTCAAGTCCTTTGTGGAGGAGCGAGATGACAAGTACACCATGGAGCTGCTCCTCCTGCCCAGCGCTCTGAAGGAGGAGCTGCTGGGTTTGGCCCAGAGCCCCACCAGCACCAACACAGCAAACTTGGTGAGTCAAAATGTTTTTTTTTTTTAAATTTTTTACAGATCTCCAATATTAACTTTTTGCCCATACTCAATATGCCAAACATACACTTAATGACAAACACTTTCCTTTTCCGATATCGGACATCCCTAATTTTATTAATTGTATTACAGCATAAAACCATTTAATTATTTGTCCTAGATTTGCTAAAAGGAAGCTGGAAAAAATCTTCCTCGATACTAAACTATTGTTAAGGTTGTTAAGAATGAGACAAAAGATAATTAGAAATAAAGTCCATAAATGGTTAACAGCTCTTTTTTTCCAGAATTTTCTTGAACAGATAAAAAACATTGGGGTTGACGTTGGCTACAGAAAATACCCAGAAAGAGTTAAAAGAATATCCATGGTATAAACAGAGAAAATAACCATGTCTCGTCTCAACAACAGCTTAAATAACAACATATTCTGGCTGTAAACTCTGTAAAAAGTTTAGTCGCACGTAGTTGTAATTATATTTTGGAATTTACCAGCCTGTTTTTTTTTCAAGAGGAAGATTTAATATAGGGTTAAAATGTGGTCGTTTTACCTGATAAGCAGGAAGTTGAAGGAGAAAGTTTCCTGTCATTTTGTAAAGTAAGGTGGAGTTCACACAGAGAACCTGTCGACTGCTGTGAACTCTGACTGTGGTTAACTAACGATGAGCTCATCGGCATGTCGTCCTTCACACTCTCAGGCCCAGCACCACCTGACACTGCACCCCAGTGTGGCAGAGGTGGACCAGGACCGGTCTCAGAGCAGTACTCCAGTGACCGAGCTCTCCAACCGCATCCTGGACACCACCTTCGAGGAGAAAGGGACCGGAACAGTTTCAGTCGGTGGAGGAACCAAAGCTGGGGTTTTGGGTTCAGGCCACGACGCCGTGCTGCTCAATGGCACTCGGCCTTCACATAAGCGGCGCTCTTCTGAGAGCGAGACCAGGGACACAAAGAGACAATATTCTCTGGAGCGACGAGACGATTCGCCAGAGCGGGCGAGGGAGCGGGAGAGACAGAAAGAGAGAGAGGGTCGCAGCTGTAGCAGCAGCTGTCGATCGAAAACGCCCTGTGCTTCTTCAGCCCTCTCTGTTTCCTCCTTCTCCTCCTCGTCCTCCTCCTCCTGTGGTAAGGCCAACACAGTTGGTCCCATCATGTTGGACTCCAGTGAAGACATCTCAGATGATGGAGAAGCTGTCAGTCCGGAGACCAACCTACGCTGCCTGGTCAATTTCTTCAGGTATGGATTATAGGAATTTACAAAAAAACACATATGAAAACACACATAACTGCATATTTGTCCCGATGTGGTGTCTGTACCAGGACTGTTGTAGCTAACGTTAGCTCTGCTGTCTGTACCAGGACTGTTGTAAACCAATATTTTTCTCCAGAACCATGGGCTACCAGCAGGAAGTGGTGGAGCGTGTTGTCAAAGACATGGGCCAGACGGAAGATACCTTCCTTGTCCTGGAGAAAATTGTGGAGGAAACCAATCGCTGTGACAAAGAATCAAAAGAAGGACACAAGGACAGACGGCTCGGTCCCATACGTCCTGCAGACACACCTTCCTCCTCCTCATCCTCATCCTCCTCCTCGTCCGCTACAGTCTGTCGTCTTAAAGACAAGGAGCGTGAGCTCAGCAGACATTTGGTCGACCCCGGCAGATCAAAGGAGAACATCAAACCCAACCACCACGGTGTGGGCAGCAGTAATGGGCTGGGACACAGGAGACAGTGCAGCAGCAGTGAGAGCAGCACTCAGCAGGTATTTCTTCACACCTTCTGGAACTCTCTTTAATCTCTCTCTGTTTCACTTCATACTTCTTCTCCCATCATTGATTCTAATCTCATTTATCTGTTGTTCCAGGCCATTACCATTAGGAGGAGCTCCAGTGCTCAGGGCGGGGCGGGAAACTACGAGGTCATCACCATTGATGATGACGACGACATCATTTTGATGGACGCCAAAACGGCAGATTCCCGGAGGATGACGGTGGCCCATCTGGACTCTCACTCGGGATCCAGAACGGACTACCTGGCCCGGGGAGGTGGCGTCACCGCTGTCCCCACCGCCGCCACCCCACAGAGGGACTACCTGTCCAGGGGCGGGACCCAGACTTTGGGGGGATCAGTCAAGGTTGAAAATGTGACCGCGCTGCGGAGTGCCCCCCAGTGGCTGACTGCCACTACCACCTCGCTGGCTTCAACTCCCAATGTAAGTATTAGCCTGTGGGTCAAGGGTCAAAGGTTAACAATCATAAGGACATTACTGTTGTAACCTAGTGGTTTTAAGTTTCACTGCAGTCCAATATGTTTGAATGAAGGAGCTGAAGGTCTGCCAGCAGTTAGTGGGTGGAGTTTAGACTGATGATGTCATCAACATTTATGAGTGTGTTTCACACAGCAGGTGAAACACACTCAGGTTTTTCTACTTGGAGAAAATGGAAATGTTCAGTCCGTTCTGGTGGGAAAGCCCTGATTTCAGCATCGCTTTTATTTAATTTTTTTTTCAAGTACCGTCATTACCTCACTGACAGTCCAGTCCAGGGTCACTTCCTGTCTCTATGCACAGTTGCATCAGGTGTGTGGCGTCATGTGACGTGTGTCATGAAACAGGCCTTGAAAGACCCTTGAGTGGCCCTGGAGTGGTGTATAAACCTCAGACCTTATATGGAGTTGTTGGAAGTTTTCCTGTCATGTTGGAGGAAATCCTGTGACCTCACTGTGAAGCCCGTCTCTCTGACCCATCAGACTGCAGTGTAGTCGGTGTTGACTTGACCTGGACGTGCGTCACCACTCACTGTTTGTTACTGTACGTGCAGGTCCTGGTAAACAGTTCAAGGTTGTGTTCAAACCTGCCTACGCACGAGTCAACACTTTGTCATGTGGGACCAACTGCTTTCAAGCTGCGACATCACAATTAACATTTACATTACACTAAACTGAGGGTTGGTGTGGAAATATAGCGCCCCCAGTGACTACACACTAGCAGCTGTATTCAAGCAGTGACACTTTCATTTTTTTTTCATATTATGTCCAAACTACAGATGTAAGAAAATATTAATCACTGAAATATCGCGATAATTCGGTTCATGATAAATCAATATTCTACAGCACTATTGATTTTTTTTTTTTTTAGGGATGTCCAATAATATTGCAAACGTTAATATCGGCCGACCGGTATTATTGGCCCGATATTACCATTATTATGTAATATCAGAATGAATCATTATTGTTTTTTTTTTCTCAGATAATCAAAACCCCGATAATACGCAATATCTGTGTTTGGCCAAATATGCTGGAATCGCTTGTCAATATCTGTGTTTGGCCAAATATGTTGGAATCGCTTGTAGTGTTTTCTGAGACGTTTACGTCAGTTTTGTGAGCAATCGGTACTTAAGTTTGTCTGGACTGACTAATGCTGTGTCTTCCTCCACAGTCGGCCCAGTCCAACAGCAGACCCTCTCCTTATCAGACCATCGGCCACACAGGGTTCCACGGCGGCATCGCCCGCACTCCACCGGCCAACGAACCCCCTCCTCCTCCTCCTCCTCCACCACCACCGCCACCAGTGACCGGTTTGTCTCGGTTCCATCAGTCCCTGAAGACTCCTTACATCCTGAAGCTACCCAACGAGCCGGGGCGACCGGACCTCAGACACATCATCATCGATGGAAGCAATGTGGCCATGGCGTAAGTCTGACACACACCCTGGTCACTGTTCACACAAATATTATCTGACCTGCCGATCATTACGAGGTCGAGCTAACAGTCTTTGTAGCTAACGTTAGCTCTGTTGTCTCTAAACAAACAATCACATTTAACCATCACGCCTGGTTTGACAACAGCACCAGAATGAAGCGATGTCTTGTGTTTGTTGGTTTTTATCAGAAATCTCTGGGTCGTGGACCGTAGTTAAAATGAACTGTAGTTGGTTTGACTAGCCGGGTGGTCATGTGACCTCTCGTCAGACGCGGTTGTTAGATGTGTGCGTTCAAAGTGGTTTGGTCTGTGAGTCATCAACATCTGTAAAGACCCCCCGGTCCCCCGGCCCCGGCCAACATGAATCAGGAGGTCCTGAAATGATTTCACTTGTGCTGTTCATCACCAGCCACGGGTCAGACTCCACGTGGGCCACAAGTGAAGAGTCGGCGAGTTTACCGGCACCATCAGTGTTTTGCTCTTTAAAGCGCAGATGTTTCCAGTGAATCAGCTCTCAGTTTCTCTCAGTCTTATCAAAACAGCCGACTTCAGGTAAAGGAGGAGAGGGTGTGTCGGTAAAGGGTGGTGGCACGTTCCTGGCATGTGTAAAAAAAAAAACAAAAAAAAAGAAGAAAACACGGGGCGGGGGCGCAGGATGTTTTGTACCTCACATGCTCATAGTTATTGTCATCATCATCATCATCATCATCATCAGAGGTCACAGAGATCTGAGTATAAACAAGCCTGACTTAGAGTGTGTGGATTTCACCTCCGCGGATCACGGTGATTACTCATCATCACATTTGTATACATGCTGTACCTGTGTGTGTGTGTGTATATGAGTGTGTGAGTGAGTGAACACAGCATAGTGAAAGCAGCAGATGTTCATGTGCGGGGGTGGGAGAGAGAGGGGGTGAGGTGCGGGGGTGTTTTTCTGAAGAAGAAACCTTTCTAGTAACAGATCAGCGGTTAACGAGGAGGAGAGACTTTAATTTGCCGACACGTCAGGTCACATGACACGTGTCGCTTCAACGGACCGTAGAGTTGGCAGACGAAAGAACAGAAACGTTTCTGTTTCCGAATAAATAAATAAATGATATAATAATAAAAAATGAGACGTAGTCAATAATTTATGCAAAGTTATACAAAGAAAAAGAGTAAAGGAGGAAAATGGGGGAGACGGCAGAAGGGAGAGAAAACGGGGGAGTGCACAGTCACTGACGCGACTTTATGAATAGGGTTGAATTTAAAAAGTTGTTTTGATTCAAATTTTATTATTGATAATAACAATTATAATAATAATTATTTCAGAGGAGAGGGAGGAAGAGCACCACCTAGTGGAGAAACCACTGCATGCACATTTTTTTTTACTGACTAATCCTCTGATGAATTGATGGTGAAACCCCTGCAGCGTTCTCTCCATGTGGGCGTTCACAAAGACGGGGGTGTGTTTCTGGGCAGCGACCCACGAGTTTGAACTCCTTGAACTGACGTTCGACAGAGGAGGTACCAGGTCCAAAGATTCCAAGACCAGCTTGGTATTTGGCCCGTATGTTGCCCTGAAGTGCTGACCAGATGTGGGCCACGGGCCGGTCCCTGATCAGAGCACCCCTCCCCCTCCTCCTCCCCCCTTTCCCTCCCCTCATGTGTCATCCCTCTCTTTCACACTGGATGACCTTTTTCTGACCTCTCACGTTTGACAACTGCTTACTTTCTCAGGTTCCGTACCTCGCTCTGCCCCCACATCACTCCACTCACCTTCACCTCCCCTCCCTCCTCCCCTCCTCCCCTCCCTCCTTCCTTCCACCCTTCCTTCCTTCCTTCCACCGTTCCACCCTTCCTTCCTTCCTTACTCCCTTCATTCCTTCCTTCCACCCCTCCTTCCTTACATTCTTCCTTTCTTCCTTCCTTCCACCCCTCCTCCCCTTAAACGACGTCGGCCGTAAACGTTTGTTTGTTTACTTCTTTTCTCACTATGACAAAATAAAAAAAAAAAAGACCACGCCGCTCCAGGCGCGGGGTCAGGAATTTCGAAAACAGGTGGATCAAATGTCTCGTCACTTTTGTTCAGTAAGACTCCTGTCCTGTCCAGGCTACACCCAGATTCCCAGCATGTCTTTGTTCATGATGATGTCATCACTCCTCTGTTGTGTCACTTTCTCTTTCAAAAACCAACAGAACCCTTCATCTCTGTGTGGTTTCCTCTGTTGGCGTTTACTTAACGGCCTCTCACAAAAAAAAAAAAAAAGGAAACTGACAGACGGGTTTGTCTGTGGTTCTGTCAGTGGGTCGGTCAGTCAGTCAGGCTGAGGCTGTGTGTCCACCATTAGAGAGGAAACTGACCTGAAGTCACGTGACCAGGAGGTTTCTCATAGAAACCACGCTCTCCTCTGATGTCTGTATTTTCGGGTCAGCGTCTGCAGTTTCGGACTTTAATTGTTCAATCACATGGACAAAGTGAAAGAGGAAGTAATTGCAGCTGTGTTTTTTTTTTTTTACGGTAAACGATCAGTCAAATTATGATGAAACTCGTATAAAGCCCTGTGGGAAAATAACCTATTTTCAACACAGTTTTTTTTTTTCTAGTCTCTGTGATTGATGTTCTATAACTGAGACTTTTTTATGGAGTAATTTCGCTTTATTTGTTCAGCGTTTCACAATTTGTCAAACTTATTTCTGGGCAGATATTGTGACTAATTTATGAAATTTTCAAGTTCATAACATTTTTTTTTTTTTACTTTTTCTTTGACCATTTTAGCTCCAATTTCTAACATTCCCCTTTTGTGCTCATTCTTGTTCTTGACTATTTGAGGTTTTTGTGTTTTGTGTGTACATATACATGTACATACATATATGTATATATATATATAT